CCCCGCCCTCCCTGCAGCCATTGCCCCTGCCCGCTCCTCCGCCACTGGCCCCTGCTTGGGCGCCCAGCTCCCCGCCCCTCCACACCTGCTGACCGAGCTCACGGCCATCCTCTCGCCGGTGTCCCGGGCTAGCACATCCAACTTCTGGCCCAAACGGCCGCCCTGGCCCGGTGTCTGTCCCCTGGTGGGGACCTGCTGGACGCCGGGCCACCGCTGCACTCGGCCCTTGGCATGATCTACCCGGAGGCCACCGAGCCCGGGGCCCTGGCCGTCGCCTCGTCGGCCGACCTGCTGGCGGAATTTGACGATGAGTTTGAGGATCTGGCTTCCCTGCTACCGGGGTTCCCCTTCAGCCTGCCTCCAGGGGCCGGGGACACCATGCGCCGGCAGGCGGCCGCCGCCATGGCGGCGGCCACGGGAACACCGCCTCCGGCGGACCCCGCCCCGGCCTCGGTGCCGGGGTCGCAGCAGTCGGCCAGCGAGTATGCCCATGCGCTGTCGACACTCATGCTGGTGCGAGCTGCTCTCCGCCCCTCGGCCCACATGCCAGGCTGGCTTGCTTTGCTGCGGACCTGCCCCGCTCCCCTCCCCTTCCTTCATGTGCACACACACACACACACGCACGCACGCACACGCACACGCGTGCGAAGCACCCACCTGGGCCGTCTGACACCGCCATCACCCATGGACACACCCGCCAGCGTGACATCACCGAGAGCCGGGCCCTGCTGCTTCGGCCGCCGGCCATGGCCGCCGAGGCGGCGCTCGCCCTGCTCCGGGAACAGGGCCGCTCCGGGCCAGCGGCCGCCGGCGACACATGCATCTTCCAGCAGCTGGCCGAGCGCTTCCAGGACCTGTATCCACACCGGCCGGGCTCGCCGCCGGCCGATGACCAAATCGCTCGCCTGCCCCAACGAGCATGCACCCTCCCGGTGGCCGGGACCCCCTCCCCCAGCCAGGGCCGGACCGATGCCGGGGCGTTTGCCGACCGGCTGGGGTACCTGCGCTATGTGCCGCTCGGGTCCTTCGACCTGTCCAAAACCTGTCTCCACAACCGGGCTCTCTGTCTGCTGGATCGCGTGCTGGCCCTTTTGGCGCTCCTCTCCACCGGACGCCAGACCCACGAGTGGCACTTCCACTCGCGGGCCTGGGTGCCGGATCTGCTGCTCGGTGCGTTGCCCGGGTGTTCGTGCCGGTGCATATGCTGTCCCCCCCCCCCCCCCCCCCCGCCCCTCCTTCGCCCTCCCATGGCATGGGACTCACCCCGACCACCCTCGGCCCTCGGCCCTGGCCCCCTGGGATGCTCGTGCATTCGCCCTGACCGCCATCCACAGACAAACCCCCCTCGCGGGACATCTTTCACAACTCCGAGGATCAGTGCGTGAAGCCGCCTGCCCGTGTCCTTTCCTCCTGCCCGGCCTCCGCCTGTTGGCCCTGCCCGCGGGGCCTCCCCATCTTACCTGCTCCTCGACATAGTCTGCTGGCCTTTGGCATCGCGCGCCTGGGGTGCTCTTTCTCGGCCTCCCAGGCGGCGGCCTCCTCCCTGCGCAGCCTGTATGCCCCCTCGCGGACCATGAACCAACTGAACAGCCGGATGAAGAATGTCCGCGCACGGGTGTCGCGACTGATCCGGGCGCACCATGGGTCGGCCACATCCGGCCCGCTGGCCGTTCAGTCGGGCGAGTGGGCCCTCTTCGTGCGTGTACTTGTGCCCTGTTTGCGCCCGCTGCTGGGGCGGCAAATGGCCTCGGCCTTGCTTTGCCCGGTCTGCCTGTTGCTGCTGCTGCTGCTGTGGCACCCGCACTCACATTCCCTGGGCCCTTGTCTGTCGATGGCCCCAGCGCATCGACCGTGCCCTGAAGGATTCCGTCCTGGCCCCGTCGGAGGACTCGCTTGAGTGGGCCCACTGCCCGGCGAGCGGGTCCTGCCCTGCGCCTGGGGCCCATTCGGCCGCCACCTTCCAGCACCCGGGCTTTCCGGGGGTCATCTTGCCGAGTCCCCTGACCTCCTCCAGCAGGGCGGCCCTGGCCCGGCACCTGGTGAGCCTGATCGACACATATATGCCGCCATTGCCGGCCCATCTGCGAAGCCTCACCTTCGAAGGTGCGTATCTTGGGCATGCCTCCGCGCCCTGGGACAGCCGAACAGACTGCCGGCCAGGGGCGGAG